GCTTTATAGTTTTACTTTTTAGTCCATCTTTACCCTATCTGGAGTCCAGCTTTTATATGGTACAATGTAGGCATTTATTTTTCTCCAGATTGTGATCCAGTGTTCCAATACCATCTCTTAAAGAGTTTCCTATCTCTATTACACAAGTGAAACGTCTTTATCATACATCATTTACATTTTTTTTTTTTTGGATAAAAAGAAGAATGCTTCTGGAAGCATGATGACCTAGAATAAGAAAGGGAAAAAGAAATATTCCTACCTATCCTCTCTCAGGGGGATAATGGGGACACTGCTGACTATGCAGTCAGCCCTATGAAGCCATGTGCAAATAGAAAACCTTAAACACCCCTAGCAGTTGCAAATGGATTTTTTGGATCAAGTATAAGGAAAGAAATAGTCTTGCTAGGTCAAGTGCATCAGATATATCAGGTAAATTCCCACAATTCCTTCAATGTTTAGTAGCATAATAATGTGTTTCCATGTCATGTTAAATAAATAAAAAGTTTTGAATGTCATAAATATATTATACATTACATTCTAACTATACTTCTCCAGTAGCTGTTTAGCATGTTAGTGGACCTGTTATCCACCAAATTTTCCAATTTTCCCAAAGCTTCCTGAATGAAATTCATGGAATGATTTAAGGTACTTGACATGATATAATATTTAACTAGTAAAATTTTTTGTAAGCAAGGGGAAAATCTAGACAAAAACGGGTTCTGATTTATGGCTTAATTCAGTATTCTATACACAGAAAGTCCTCAAAAGGCAAAAGTCCTTGCCTGATTACCTGGCTGACAGCCCACATATTTACTGGGTTAGAATTTATATGCAGAGGGAAATCTTTTGTGAAAGTCATGATGTATTTGTCATTGTCTTTTGTTCTAAGGAAAAAATATCCAACAGTTCAAGGACTATTACACTGTGCAAAAATTAACTCTATGCAACTGTTCATGGAGTCCTTTATGGGGAACATACAGTAGCACTACAGACTATGTACTTAAGTGGATATTTCTGCCTTCCCCTCGGACTTAGCTGAAAATTATTTTGGAATCTTGTTAGCTGTTACATTGCCTAGTGATACCGAACAACAAGTAGAAAATAGAACCGAGCATGCTAGTATTTCTCTTAAAAACTGATAGTGTGTGGCACTATGAGCTAGAATCTTAACTAAAGGGCTACCATTGTCTAGCAGTAATACTCAGACTTTCCATTTTTAATGCCCCGGATATACTTGAAATTTAAGAGTAGAATGTCAAATTTAATCCATCTAACCTTTAAGTGATGCTTATCATACACGCAGATTTCTCAACGTTGTCACAGTCAGACTTGGCGGTGGTTACTCTACAAATGTACAAGACGGAATTCATAGGTTGTGTAGTGTTGATCTTGGCAAAAAATTTGCAGTAATTCACCAGCACAGAACAAAAAAGGACTGTGATTTATGTTTTACAATGTACACAGCTGATACGCTGTAATGTCAAAATTCATGTTCCTAAAATCCTTCCTTCCTTCCTTTAGAAAGTTCTAAGTAATGTTCTGTTTTGGAACTAAAGGACATGATTGGCACATCACAGGGGGACATGCAGAAGGTCATGCTCTAGGATAGAAATGTTATGATGTGACATAGTTCACTTCCTTTCATTCTCCACAACACACTGACTACACTAGAGAGAGTAGTTGTGAAATCACAGCAACTACAGACCCACCTGAGAAAGAGAGAAAAGGAAAGCACATGCTCTATGTGATACTTACAATATACAAAATATGATAGAACACAAATTTTGCAGCATATCAGCTATGTAAATTATAAAACATAAGTCACTGATTTTTTTTCCTTCCATAATAGTGAATTACTGCAAGTTTTCCACCAAGACTAAAACAAAAACTATCAACTCCACCTTGTAGATTTGTAGATTAACCATCACTCAGACTGACTGTGACACTCTCAAGAAATCTCTAGGTATCTTTTCAACCAAAGACTCTTGGCTAATTTGAATCGAGGCAGGATGGTTGTAAAATTTAGAACGTGCTTTTAGGATGGCAACACAAATGTTAAACACAAGACATAAGCTTCAGATGTGTTCATGTGGAAAGGTCTACAATTTCCTCCACACATACAAAAAAACCATGTAAACATTATTTTCTACTGAACTTTGTGAACTAAAAATTAAATCCTAAGCCCTTTTCTAACTGAATGGACCCCTCTAGGCTAAAGGTACCCTAGAAACACCTTAAAACTGAGTTCACAGGCATGATGGAATGGGAGAGGTAAAGCACAATTACATATGCATGACTTCCCTTCATAAATATTCATGGTCCTCCTATAGCTTGTTGAATATGTATATTTGACTACCCACTCAGCATACAGTCCTGATGCCTTTGGTCTCTTCTTTGAAGCACTTGCCTGGCTTCTGACCTGGGGTCTGCTTCCCCACCTGTTGGAATGGCTGCTCTCCAGGCTGCTACCCTTTATGAGAATAAAGCTCTCCTTTTCCCAAAGTATAAACCTTGTTAATTATTATTATTATTATTTTAGTTAACAACTTTTATCAGAACTTGAGTATCATCATGCTTCTTGATCTCATACCATTTTGAATATTTCTGAAATTCATAACAATGACACTGGAGACTCTGTTTTGATGTTCTAGAGAAAACGTCCCAAGTTAAAATAAGATGTTATATGGGAAAAACTTAAGCTCTAAATGTCTTAATCATAAGTGATTTTTATTAAAATAACATATAAAGTCTCCACATTTCATATTTAGTTATTTATTTCAATGGATTCTATTAGTTTTACTCATTAATCATATATTTCCAATATCATCAAAAAGAAGTTGCTTAAATTTCTACTTGTCATAAAATTTTTTTTTTTTTTTTTTTGAGACAGAGTCTCACTTTGTTGTCCAGGCTAGAGTGAGTGCCGTGGCGTCAGCCTAGCTCACAGCAACCTCAAACTCCTGGGCTTGAGTGATCCTTCTGCCTCAGCCTCCCGAGTAGCAGGGACTACAGGCATGCGCCACCGTGCCCGGCTAATTTTTTATATATATATCAGTTGGCCAATTAATTTCTTTCTATTTATAGTAGAGACGGGGTCTCGCTCTTGCTCAGGCTGGTTTCGAACTCCTGACCTTGAGCAATCCGCCCGCCTCAGCCTCCCAAGAGCTAGGATTACAGGCGTGAGCCACAGCGCCCGGCTTGTCATAAAACATTTTGAGGGAAACATTTTACTGACTGTAAAATACTACTAGAGTGTTCTGACCTATTTTTAATAATTCATCGCCAGTAGCATGATTGAAACATTACCAATCCTGCTAACAGATTATTTAAGACTAATTAAATTCATTAGGAGCAATAGAAAAAAGTCACCTATTCACCACCACAAGAAGAAAGATAATAAATAAGTTAGACTTTACATAACAAAAATCATTTTCCTTTTAGAAAATATTTATACATGAACTTTCGAGCAATTTATAAAGCTTATAAGTTTCATTTGCTATAAAAGAACAAAGGAACATATGAACTAAAAATAACATCACCAATGTCAATTTCAAAGTAAAGATGTACTTTATCGAAATGAGCAATTTACATCAGAGTGTTCTTGAAAGCGAGCATTTTTAGTAAAACAATAATCTGGCTTAGATAAAAATCAAAATTTATAATTATTTTGGCATGCTGACCTGGTCTGCTACATTTCTATTTCCAGTCATCTTGCAACAGTACAATGAACAGAAAATTATAATTACTTAAGTTAAATAACTTATTCAGTAGATGCTTAGGAGTGACCTATATCAACAGGTATCATCCATAACATAAGGGAGTGGTATGAAAATGCTAATGTTCAGAATTTACTCTAGTTTTGTTTTATATTGATGTCTAAATCATGAGTCTTATTTCTCATGTGAGCATACATCTTTCCTTGTGAGGTAACCGACTTTATGAACAAATTTCGACGAAACCTGTGGGTTTCTTTTATAATCCTCTCCCTTCTCATGTTTTAAATTATTAGGCCAGTAGAGCTTGATGATCAGAACCCTGTAACTTTTAACTAACTACTTGACCTGTTGAATTGTTTCTCAGAAACGGTGAAATTTCTGCGAGAGTAGAGATTCTAAAGGCCCCTGCACAGACTTCCCAGCCCCAAGAATCACCATTTACAACTTGCCCCGATGCACGACGTAGCCCCTTGTCAATTCCTCTGTAACTTGCCCCAATGCAGGTAGCCCTTTGTTAATTTCCCCTCCTTTAGAGGCCTGTACTCTCCTTTAGTTAGAGAGATGGACTTGAGACTTCTTCTCTTGTTCTCTAAACAAGATGTCTTTCCTATTAAAATTTCCTTTCTTCCCTGGCAATCCTTGTTGTCTCAGCAATTAGTTATTCTATGCCGTGAGCACCTGGACCTAGGACCCTTGCAATTTTGCTAACACTGGGAATTAAGTTTTGGTGTGTCTTAATCCTCCTTAAGCCTTCCTATGAAATTGGTCTGGCCAGTATTCCCATTTCCAAGATGAAGGCTCCCACCGCCCCACCCCACCCCACACACACGCTGTGTCCTCCCCGTTTGTGGCAGTTCTTGGGGCAAAGACCATTGTCTACCTTCAAATGACCTTGTTTTGTTAGATCAAAATCAAAGGGACAGCTTTTTCCCCTATCATATTCCCTTTACCTAAAATCTTCTTCATTTGCTAAAAACTTACTCATTTTCTAGGTGTAATTCGGAAATCACCTCTTCTCTGAAATAAATACAGTAGTCTTCCCCTGATCTGCAGCTTCCTTTTCCATGGTTTCAGTTACCTGCGGTCAACCACAGTCAGAAAATATTATAGTATTTTGAGAGAGACGGAGAGAGACATCATATTCATATAATTTTTATTACAATATACTATAATTGTCCTATTTTATTATAATTGTTGTTCACCTCTTATTGTGCCTAATTTATAAATTAAACTTCATCATAGGTGTTATGGATAGGAAAAAACATAGTCTATATAAGATTCAGTACTATCTGTGGTTCCAGGCATCCACTGGGGTTCTTGGATAAGAGAAAGCCACTGTATGTTGAAATAGATTCCACTGAAATAGATTTAATTATCTCTGCTTCTGTTCCTCCTAGCACTCTACTTATAACTTTTGTCATTATAATACTTATTATATCCTAATATAATTAGTGATATGCCTATCTGCTTCCTCCTGCTAGAGGTAGTTATCATCTTTATACCACTCTCATAGATCCTAGTACCGGGCCTGGCATTAAGTAGCTATTCAATAATTTAAAAAACTAAATAAATTGAATGAGTGACTTCATAGACAAGACAACAGGTAAGAAAGGCCAGATTATTGTCATTGCTCATATACTTGAAGCACATGCCATCAGTGGGGGAGAAAAAGATCTAAGAGTAAGGAGGAACATTAATACACAATTGTAAAAAGCAATGAAAAAATGTAGATAAAGGAGGAAAAGAAGTGGCCCGAATCCAACATCATTGCAACTAATATTACAATCACTGTGCACAGAGAAGAATTTCATTCCTGAATGACCAAGGATTTCTTATTGAAGTACACAATTTTCTTGTATGCTTTCTTTAAGTCAGAAGGAAAAATGGGAAGGATATTATTAATTAAGAAAAATCTGCCAGAGAAAGAAACAAAATGAATATTGGCAATTCAGCTGCTCTCTTCAGAAAGTGTATCCAAGATGGCATGCCTTTTATTATCAGCGTGTTGAGGGTAGAAATGGCTGTTATAAATAGTGACAAAAAACCCCAAAAACCAATTCATTGAGTCCCTACCTCACGCCAAACATTATGCCAAGAATTTTCACAAATTATCACATTTTAATTGCATGAGTCAGATATCATGATCCCCATTTCACAGGGAAGGAAACTGAAGATCAGAACAATTGAATGATTTTCTGAGGTTGCAAAGTTATTTGGGGAGCTTTGGTCAAACCAAATTTTGGGCTTTTCCTATGATACTCTATTACCACATCCTTTAGTGTATGGAAACATTCCTACCACATTTTATTAAAAGTATCCCCATTCTAAGACATTTCGTTTAGGCTATTTCACATTTGCTAAATTGTAGTTTGAGTATTCCTTTGACATGCAGTTGGAGGATCTGGCTATATTCTTTGGGCATCTGATGGAAACCGCGTTTAGGTAACGTGTTGTCATAGTAGTGATGGCTGACGGGTGTGTCTTCCATAGTTTTAGAGAAGGGCCAAAATCCGTAAAGCTTCACGTTTTCACACAGTTCCACCGCGACACTTGCGATCATCAAACCGGTGGACAAGCGGTATGCGGTCACACCTTTAGTTCGCCAGAAAAGGGCCAGATGCTTCAGGTACTTGGGATGGAAAAATAGAACCTTTTGTCTTGCTTTAGAGTCTCTGAGTGTGTAGTACACTTTAAAAGAAACACCAGTGTTGGCCCTGAAAGAAAATGCTGGCAGAAGAAGAAATGCGTCTCCATAGGTTGCAATGTCCTCCAGAAATATTGCTTTCTTTTCCATTAAGTTCCCATATCTGCCAAATTTCAAAGAAATTATAATAATAACAAGGATAATAATCAAAGCAGCAGTTCTGGTAACATGAGGCTGAATGTACTGATGGTCAAAAAAGTGAACCATTTATATTCTGCATATAAAAGAGATAAACTGCAGCCTCAGGGAAAACCCAATCAAATAAGCATCATGACAATATTAAAGACTAAACCTTCATCTTTCTTTCATGGAATACGTAGGCTTTCAATTGCTACTTTCTTACTGGGCTATATTCTTACTGGACAGAAATTTCTTGTATTATTTTATATTCTGACTCAGTAATTTTTTTCTAAAGTTATATTTTTGGTACTGAAACAGCTTCCAAATTTATAACGATGAAATACTTTTTCAAGTATAGCATGCATCTCAATAGATTAAAAACTCATTGAGCTATACGCTTGAGATTTGTGTATGTTATGATATGTACCTTTTGTATATATTTAAGTATAAAATAGAAGTTTCCTTTAGAAAACCTAAAATATCTCTATATAAATACAGATATATTTTTAAATTTCCTCCATGTATTGTGCTATCTCTATATGTCTGATTTAAATAATACCTTACTAAGTATTCTTGTAAGCACGATTGTGAGTGTTTAGAAAATAAGCTTTTGGAATGCAAATACAATATTTTATTTTCTCTCAAGAGATGCTAGAACTATTTGGAGGGGCAGAATCTATTTATAATAATTATCAGTCACTTTTGATTTAAAAAATGAAGTAAAACCATGTATGGAATTTTTTATTAGCCAACAAACAATTTCATAGTAGTTACATTGCAGAAGTGACTGGGTATTAGTTTTTGGTGATAAACTATTCAAAATGAAAAGTACATTTTGCCAGATTGTCCTAGAACTTACTCTCTGAATTTTCTAAGTACATTAAGTTTTATCAAGAAAATGCAGCCAAGATAAAAGAGTAATGCTAAAACTCTGAAAAGAAAATGGAAAAAAGCAACTTTACCTGTGTTTAAAAAAAAAAAAAACATGAGGAGAAAATTTCTCATTTGATTTAAAACATTTAGCTTATGGCATTAGAAGTACAACTGAGTCATACCTCTTACGAACCACAACCTTGCTAGAATGTCAAAATTTGCAAATGTATTCTTATATATTTTTCCCAAAGCCCTTCCAGCTGTATTGCAAGTCAGTCTCAACAAAAAAATTAACGTTCAGACTGAGAAACATGTTAAACACTGGAAAAATGTTCTTTAAAAATTATGTAAGTTGCAGGTACTTACTTTAGTGTTATGATACTGGGGTTGACAGTCACAAGATTTGTTTTGCTTCCAACATCTTTACTAACAGCCCCTGTGGTTGGGGGAAGGTTACATCTGAAATTTGGAAGGGAAACTATGTTCAAAATAGAACTTGTAAAACAAAAAGTATATATGCACATATATATATATATATATATATATATATATATATATATATATATATAATTGTCCTTATATTGGAGAAAATCATTGCTGTTAAGAGATCTTCAGAATCCATTTGATTTCCATTTAAAATTATTTAATAACTACTGAGCATTTGGGTGATGCTATATGAAACACACAAATTTGATAAAGGCTTTTAATATTGATAATGATCTCTTTTAAGTATCAAAACCAGAAAGGACAATTACACCTTGCCTAACTTTCGAGGAGTTCCCAATCCTTTCATTAAAATTGTTATTTATATTGATTTTATTCCCACAGTGGTAGGAGCACTAATTTACAGACTATTAAAAAATTGAGGTACTGTGACTAAAGTTATAGAGTCTGCCAGAAGCAAAGACTACATTAAAAAAATCAAAATCTTCTGATTCCCACATGGATAGTTTTGCCACCAAATTATGGTGTTAATAAATAAAACCTTAATGTTCTTATAGAGATATTTTCATACCAGTGTTCTCATCTTCCTTTGAGTACTAATTTGTTTTTAAATTGGAAAGCAAATTAAGAATTCTAATTTTGAGTAATTATATTCCCGTCACAAGAAAGGGAAAAGTTGGTTATAACTCTCTCAGTACCGTTTGTAGAATTTCAAGTAGTAAAGCTAAGAACAAAAAGGGAGCATCTTTGAGTGACTCCTAAGGAAGGCTGTTTAAAGTTGAGAAAGTCTATAATACAACTGAGTTTGAAATAGTCTATACTATGTTTTATGAAACATACAAATAAATGAAACATATACTTCTCTCATGGATATAAAAGATAAGTCAGAAAATAAATATGGCACCCTGGGAAAATAAATGTTAATCATAGGTACTAAGCCATAGAAAGGACCTCATTAGTGGGCTTCCCATAACAAGTCTACCTCCTAATACAGTCTCATGTTCTTTTGAAGAATAAAAAGTGACTTACAATATAGTATCATAGGAGATTCCTAGAGGGAAGGGTATTTTTTTTGTGTGTGTATATATACACATACACACACATATATAATTATATTTACATATGCATACACATATACACAAACACAGTATATAGTTCTAGTATAGCAGTGTTACATGTACATGTATATATTACATACCATACATATATACATACAGTAGTACACTGCATTTTATACACATACAGTAGTATAGTCATAGTATAATAATAGCATAATCATTGCCTATTTTTTTCTCCCTCACTTATTTCATATCTCCCAAGCTTTTGAAGTGAAAAAAAACCAGCTTCCAGATTGTGTTATAAACTATCAACATGCATAGCCAAAATAAGTTCAGGCTTAAAAATTTAAATTTTAATGACACCAACCATGTCTAGCCCTCATTTTGTCTTTCAGTTTAAATAACTGGCTTCAAAGGGAATTCTATATTCAGAAAAAATACCTGGCATCAGCAAATGTAGGATCTAGAAACATAGGCATTTATTTTAGAGTTATAAATTAAATATCTGCTGAGATTTTTTTTTAGTATTCGAGACTAAATTTATATTTCCTATACTTGCTATAAAGTAAAATGAATGTTTAGGCATAATCCTCAACACAGATGTTTTGGGAATTTTAAGTCTATAAAATGTCTATTGCAAGAAGAATTATTTATATTCATTATGGCCTTTTCACACTGAGTTCTTGAAGGAAATGGCTCAACCATTCACATACTGGCCATTTTAACGTTAATCATGAAGAACATGAATATTCAGTAATTGTTGGACTGTCAGGTCTATGGTTGTTCCATCATTATCTTCAGCATAAAATCTTAAAATGAAGTGGAGCTCTTTATTTAAAATCCTGTTTCTTTTTTATTTGCAGCATTGATTCACTAGGGATCAAAGCATATCTCTGATGTATAAAATCAGTGCTCCTAAAACTGGGAGAAACCGATTTAATTTTAATTGAAGTCCATCCTCACATGGATAAATCATCTTTCCATCATATATATTCTGAAAGTGGAGATGCTTTACAGAATGACTTGTTAGTACCACTCACACATAGAAACCATTTTGTTTCTATTTTTGCAAGCTAGCCGGTATCGAGACAGAAAATGTTTAAAAAGACCAGAATTTAGAAACTGCACGGTTTTTTAAAAATTGCAAGCCAAAAAACTAAACAATGGCATTGCATGGCTGTAAAAATACCGTGGTCGCCATTTTCCCAAGTATTATCCAAGAGCAAAACATCCTTGAAATGCTCTGCAAGAAAAATGGTCTTTAAGGTCAGGTGAGTCTGAGAAATGTTGCTCCTTAGAGTGCTTCTTCCAAGGGAGCCATGGGACACTTTAACATACTGAAACCTCTGATAAGTCCTGTACTATAAATCTCTCATTCACCATGATTTCACCCAGAATTTTTCACCTGACCATAGCACATTTTTATCCTTCTGGTATCAACATTCTGAGAAACTCAGGAACCATGTGACACTTCGGGAAAGCTAACCTGAATAATTTGTAGACTTCAGCAACATAGCTCAAAGGCCAAAATTTCCATGAGATATCTTTCCACTATCCCTCTAAAATACCCACCTGATCTTTTGTTTCAAAGAAACCAATTTGACAGGTCTTACCTAAAAACGAAGTCGGATTTGTCTATTTCAGCTCCGCAGAGAGACTTATTGAGAATACCCCCATTTCCAACCACCGCACACTGATTATAAGGGTACCCCACAAAAGGCTGCGACTAGCAGGAGAAAAAGAAAAACTATGTGAAATACCATTAATTTTAGAACCACAAACATCAGCTTAATTCTAATAACTTCACTTCTTATGCAGGCTAAGGAGAAGAAAAAGAACAAGAAAAGGAACAAGCAGCAATGTAGCATGCTGATCAACTTATTATGACTTACAATAAAAAATCATCATCGTGAACCTAAATTTCATTTCTCTTGAGAGGAATATACATCATATAATATGCAACATAATATAATACTATGAAATATAATATCTTTGTATACAAATATAACTGGACATACCTTACATCATACAATAAAGTAAATAAAATGAGAATGGCAAAATTCCACATTGTGCCTTTCTGACAAACGGGACATTTTTAGCAAAAAAGAGAAAATAAAGAAATTATAAAGTAGCATGCAATCTTCTATTCCAAGGCATAAAGTTAATAGGTAATTTAGCAAAAATTCCCTGTGCTTCTTAAATATAAATTAGACCTTCAGGCTTGGTAATGGTATTAGATTTATGCCTGCCATCTCTACAAATGACCAGCCAGGGTGCTTCGGGGAGGCCTATCAACTCTGTGCTGACATATTTCAAATTAATTTCCAAGGCCTGAATCTTTTTTATTTCCTCCTGGGGTCCAACTTGCTTACCCCCAAAAGCATTCCCACTTTCCCCAAGTCCTCCACAGTCTGAAACATAACTTTTCAAGTCAACGGTGCACTTTTCCTTTTCTGGTCACTTTCCCTGAAGTAAGACTGTTACCTGGAGCCCATAGCAAAGGTGCCAGCTCATACTCCACAATGATGAGGTCCCAATTCACCTACCCTGTTTCTAGGTGCTGGACCTAACTTGTGCAATCTGGTTCATATTGGTAAATATTCAGGAATTTTTTCAGCCAGCAGTTAAACCATTAGTAGCTTGAAATTGTCCATCATGGGGATATTTACAGCATTGAAATTGGTAAAGGGTGCAAAATCAAGTGCACCCCTTCCCAGAGCCAGTTTACCAGCAGCGCTGGCAATACAGCCTATGGCCCATGTGGTTTGAGCAGCCCCAAGAACAAGCAGACACCCCTGAACCCCTAGGACTGCTGTCTGCTCCTGGTGCTGCAACTGGAAGATGCCTAACAGGCAAAGAGAACTCCATTTCAGTACTTCTGTCTTTGTAGGTTTGTCTACCGTGCTTGTCATGTGAGAGGCACTGTTCCAAGTGCATAATTTATTAACACATTTAATCCACACAACCACCTTAGGAGCATTTTACAGATGGGAAAATAGAAGGATGAGCTCGAGCAGAAACTAGTAAGGGGTAGAGCTGGGATATGAATCCAGGCAGTCTGTTCCAGAGTACATGCTCTTAACCACAACCCACTGCACAGTTTCTCACCAGTTAAGTTAAAATGTTGACTTCATTAAGTGCCTTATTTTTCGTTATAACTGCAATGCCTAGTGGAGAGGGCCTGGCTCTTAAATGAATGGTTCCCAGATACCTTGGGCTATTTCATGGCATTGAACTTCTGGCTCAAGATGTCTTTAGACAGTGTCTACTAAATGCTTCCACAATAAATTCTGGATTTAATAGATAGGATAGAATGCAAAAATGAAAATATGCTCTTTATGATGCAAAATAGAAAAGATTACTGAGGGAAACATATCTCAAATTATGCACTCAAAATAATGAATGTTTTTCTATGGTTTCTTGGTCAACCGGGGGAAAACATACATATGCTTCAGTATCTCGTGTTCAGTAGGAATTTAAATAAATTACAAACCTCTACATTCCCTTAAATAAACCTCCAGCGAAAATGCAAATTTGCAAGGCTCTACTGCCTGCTCCTGGCTCACTCTGGTTGCAAATTAACTGTTGTTTTCCTTTTCAGGTGACTTAGAAAAGTTTGTGGAGGAAGTGACTTCACACCATTTAAACAAAAGCAATCTGCTGTGTGCCCAGCAGTTAGTCCCCCAGAGCTGCACATAGAAGGGTGGAGTAGACCATGAGCCCCATCTATCCATGGAAAGTGAAGGTTAAGGCAATGCCATAAAGTGACCTAGCTCTACAACTGTTACCACATTGACTGCAGAATTTCCTCTCCCCAGCTTTTAAAAAAAATCAGTGTAAATTTGGGAAGCAGATGCAATTGTTAACTGCATCACAATTATCAAACCTATGCTAAGTTATTTCTTTCAAGGTACCCAATGAGAAACAAAATAGCTGCTGCTTCTCTTTCTGGTCAGCATAAAGCAACACAAACACTAGCAAAAATTGCATAAATGAAAAAGCTGCTCATTGTCAAATTCTCCAAAGCCTTCCCCTGATGGGGAATAGAAATATTATTTTGTTATCTTTTCAATTATTGGCAATTTCTATACACTGTGAGAATTCTTTATGAGTTATTTTTGCACCCCTTTTCTCCCAGAAAATTTACAATATTTTCTTCTTTATCATTTTCCATTTGTTTCTCATTTATTCTCTGCAAATTATTCTTCCTCTGCATCATAGTATAAAAAAATTGGAACTCTTACATGATCAAAAATAAATTAATTGAAAGAAGTCAAAGGTTCAACAAAAGAGAATGGTAACAATCTAATATCCTACAGTTGGTAAACTGTACATATAAAGGGAATCCCATTTTGGCCTTTTTGACTTGGTCTAACTGCTTCTAATCAAATCATGGAAAGGTGCCTGAGAATGTATATTTATAAGCAATGGTAATTTTCCTCTTCATAGTAAAAATTTCCCATGTTTGGATTTGTATTAAGGGTCAAGTTTCTCCTCACTGTGTCAAGTGGCACCATCTCATATCATCTTCACTCATTTGTTACTTAACAAATATGTAATGAATGCATATATGTACTGGTAACTGTTGTAGGAGCTTGGGATACATCAATGAACACAGACAAAAAGCCCTGTTTTTATGGTGGTTATGTTTATTGACCACAAATGCGTATCAATTTCCTTCCCAAAGACAAGCCACATAAGCCTACAGTTCTTTGTGAAGGAATTGATGTAGCCACCCAAACTCGCTACCAGAAGAATCTTACTCCAGGTGAAAAATGGCCATCTTCACAAGCCCCAGCAATTAGTATGCAGAAAACTCAAGCACCACATCTCATTCGAAGAAGAATCCAGAAGACTTGGGACTGGAAGAGCTCATCATTTAAGATATAAATAGTTTTCCCTGCAGAGCCACAGTGCATTCAAACTGCCTTTTTAAAATGGTCCACTGTATGTATTTTATACAACATAAGTCTATGGCGTTTTAATTAATCCCTTCGTTATTTTAAGTTATAGCTTAAAGTGAGAGAGAATTCATCTAGAATGGTGACACAAATAACGCACAACAAATCTTTACTCACCACTGGAAACATATGAAAAATACTCTCCCTAATTGGGATGTGTTTTTTACTTTCCACCTCGTAACTCATATTAGTCCCAACTGGAGTATTATTTTGAGAAACAACAAAGTTTTGAACGGCATCACAACAGGAAGCAAGTTTCGCTCTGCAAAGGAAAAGAAGACAAGTGAGCCAAGGCATAAGATTAAAAAACCAAAAATAGAGACTACAATGGAAATGTAAAAAGTCTGCCATATTGACTTTCTGGAGGAAGATAAATTATTCACAAAGATGACATTTTTATCTCATTCAATTCTAACTATCCCTGAATGGTGGGATGATAACTCGTCAAGGTGAAATAGCAAAGCAGTTAAACATACTTACACTCAGGTAGGGACCTTCTTACTCATAGAAAATACTCATGAACACGACAGTTTTAAATATAAAAACCTCCTTCTAAAACTATTGTTAAAACGTTAAAGAGAAAAACGTGGGATGACATTACAGTTATTTTACAAAATACAGGTTAAGAACAGAATCTAAACTAAGAACAGAATCACAGTCACCAAAGCAGTATGTAATCATTTATTATGAGGCAAGTCCAACAAAAAGGAGAATTATTGAACACAGTGAATCTTTAAGGGAAGTGAATTTAACACACTGACTGCCACATTAGAAAAAACATTTTTTTTTCGCTTGGACCCATGGTGTTTTATTAAGAAAATAGAATAAAAACGTTGGAAACAAAATGATCCTTTCTAATTTAATGAAAAATTTATTTTTTATTGTTTTCTGTGTGTGACTTATATGCAACTTGAAAAATAGTTCATGTGGCTGCCAAAGTAGAGACGTGTGAGTTACATATGCTTCACGAGGCCCCGGGCTCAAAACTAGCATGAGTTAAATACAACTCATGTGGCAGTTAATATGTTAAAGATGTCATTCCTCATAGAAAGCCCAGAAAAGCATAAATAGTCCCAACTATATTTCAAAACTATCACTGTGGAATGAAACATCATCGTGAGAATACAGACCCAAAAAGATGCTTTTAGGGATCACCCTAGTTAGCTCTTAACCTCTTGCAAGTGACTATAGAACCACTCAGAATTTATATTCCATTGATATAATTCTTTGAAAATGTAGATTCCAGACCATCTCTTAATAAATAGTCTGGGGTTTAATAAACCTTAAAGTCAAAATCAAGGTGCACCCCTTGATTTTGTCAAGAGGCAAAGTCAAGAGATTCTTCCATTTGCACAATGGAACTATCTCTCCACTTAAATCCATTTCATCATTTGGTTTTCATAGACTCTCCTCATAAAAACACTTCATGTAATTGAAAATGGTAATCAAGCAAAACTATAACCTTTTCAATCTTGAAGAATTTACAGAATTTCCTTTTCTCTCAGGTTTTCCTCAAAGGAAAAGTTTCTCATTAGTTTAGTCATCTTTTTCCTCTTTAAATCTTGACTTATTTCTCCATATTACTTAAAAATATGTATTCAAGTTGGATTCAATCACTGGACAAAGGAGAGGGAATATTCAGCAAGGACGTTGTCTCTGGTTATATTCATAAGAATTGGCCCTTTCTCATTCCACAGTCTTATTACTGGTTTTTGGTCCCGAATGGTAAACATTTGTACATGTTTCTAATGAATTTTGTCCTTTTGAAAAAATACAATTCTCTAACTTGTCACAGTCATTTTAAATCTAGTCTTCCTGAATGCCAATAATTCTCAAGGTATGAAAAGTCAAGATGCTATTATTTGCATCCTAAAGTCAAGGTTTACAACAATGCTTCTTCCATCAGTCAACTTGTATGGCTGAAATAGTATAGTCTTCTCAATTGAATTCTGTCACGTGCTCACAACTTCTTTTTGTATTTTAGAACCTATCATTGCAACAAGATAGTTCATGGAGATTAGCAAAAGAAAAAAAAATGAAAATGAAGTGATGTGTAGTCAAAAACATGATACTAAGTAATTTTTAATTACAAATTTAATTTGATAGCAATTCATGTACATATTGCAAACTCAGAAATCCTTATGTGTTTATAATTTTAAATGTCTCTTTAATCCAGCATTTTTAGGAAAGACAACATAATATAATAAATTCCTGTTTAGCTCTGACAAGTAACTTAATTTCTCTAAGGATATTCGGTACTGACATGAATATTGCATCACCAAAAACACTAACCAGAGTTCCTTGTGTGCTTTTTGTTATATTAATGAGTTTTTTCTGAAATTATATTTTTAAAATTTAAAATTTTCAAACTTACAGGAAAGTTGAAAGAAGTAGACAATGAGCACTTGATTATCCACCAGCTAGATTCTCCAATTAACTTTTCATTATATTTGCCCTATTGCATATCTATTCAGCAATCCATTTTTGTTGTAATTGTTGCAATTCAAAGTAAATTACAGGTCTCAGCATGCTTCCCCTCTAAGCACTTCCTGTCTCCAGCCTTCCCCCAAGCCCCAGAAGCAACCACTTTTGTGACTATTTTCCATCACAGATTAGTTTTGCCTGTTCTAGAATATGAAAAGAATCATACTGGCTGTGTGCTTTTAGGTAGGACTTCTTTCACTCGGCATAAATGGTTTTGCGATTCATGTATGTTGCCGTGTGCATCAACAGTTTGTTCCTTTTTATTGCCGGAGTGGTACTCCGTGGTATGGGTATAACAGAGTTGGTTTAGCCATTCACCCATGAAGAGTCAACATTACACATCTAAACACTCATAATAATCTCCCAGGAAAAATAACAGAATAATCATTCAAAATGTCATTTCTGCAACCTGCCTTTAGTCACAGACTAAGGGGACTTGTTAAACCTTTGCATCCAGTGGCAGGGTGACAAATGTATGGTCTTCATCAAGTCCCTGCTCATGTGGGCATTAACCAAAACACCTGCCATTTCTGTGACACCACAGCTGTCTGCAACTGGAGCTTTTCCATCCCACAACAGTAAATGTCCCCGTCAGATCAGAAGGCACGAGCCCAACCCTATACTTCCCAGAGCCTTTGCACACTCCTTATCCCATCTGATTCGTGCTACAGGCAAGGAGGTAGAAAATACTATTATTCCCATCTTAGAGATGAGAAAACAGGGATTGAGAGAGGGTAAAATGATATGACCAAGTCAGGCAGGTTGTAAATGACTCAAAGTTCTGTCTTTTGACATTCAGTTCTTGGCAGTTTGCACTTTGCACAATTGAGTTGTTGTCATTGGGCGGAATGCTGTCATTTAAGCCTCTTCTTCCTGGACACTTTCTGAAATGATGCCACGATAACATGGTTGTTCACAAAGTAATGCTGGTAGCACCCTGCTGAAAACCTTCCCAGGCACAACTCGAAGGCTACTATACAATTTACATATAAATGCTTCAAATCCTACATACAACTGAGACATTTGAGTCTCTCATTTTACATAGAAGATGTACAGGATCCTCTATGGGATCAGGGCTATCAGGCAATCTGGTCTATGTGCCCTGAACAAAATGGAAGAGAAACCCTAGCTTGATGACAATCTAGCCCTTGCTGTGTCCCACCTTCAGCAATTTCCTCCACATAACTCAGGTTCATAAGAGAATATACTGCCTTCCACCCCCCAGGAAAAAAATCAGGACCCTCTGTACTGCACTGAGTTCCAGAATTCAGAAGAGAATTCAGAGTTCACGTTCTTTCAAAAGTGCTTAACTTTCAAGAAGTAGGTTGGTCTTGGGAGAATCTGCCTGAATCCTCGTAGCATTGATCTATAAAGGTGGAATCTCAAAATGTGCAAAATCATCTTTGCATCACAGATGGTCTAATAAATACACTTTTGAGAAAGAGACCTTTGTAAAAATTGTGGAAATTCATTTTTCTTTTTCATTGTAGGCATTATTTTCTTTTCTAAAAAAACATTTGTTTTTGTTTTTATTGGTTTCAAGTCTCAGGTCAAAATTCTTCTTCAGTTCTAAATGCAAAGCTCCCTGGATTTCCATGAAATGTTAATGACAACCTCAGGCTCTCAGTGCAGAGGACACTCTAGGACACCCTGAATACTAACGACCTAAAGGCCGGAGCCCAAACTCCCAGGCATCGCTTCTGTTTATTAAACCCTCTGATAGACTCCCTAACGAGATGCAGGGCTGTTATGGGGAGGTAGAGGCTGCAGGCATTTTGTAAAAGCACTAATAAAAAGTTAGATGTCTGGGATTTATTCTCTGTGATTCTAATGAGGGTCCTAAAGAAAGGGGTTTTAAAATGTAAGCACCTGCAGAAACTCAAAGGACAAATTTACCATCCTAACCATTTCTAAAACAGTCAAATTTCTTTTCCTTCACCAAACACACAACAAACCTAAGCTGAGAAATACACCACCTGCTCCTGTTGATATTCCTTTTTTCTGCCTTTCCTCTGGCCCCACCCAACCCTATATAATTCAGTGATTGACTGATAATTCAATAACAAACATTTGGTGCAGTCTCCCCATGTGCTACCTATTTTACATTGGTTATTTCATTTAAGCCCTACAATAGCTCTCCAAAATAGGTGCAATTAACACTCTCAGTTTGCAGATAAGAACAATTCAGGCTCCCAAAGTTAAGAAGGTCCCAGAGTACATATTCATTCATTCATTCATTCATTCATTCATTCATTCAGTTATTCATATTTATTTAGCACCGAAAAATACCAAGCACTGAGAGGTGCTGCTGTCTACGCGTTGGCCAATAAACTAAGCATTGTCTCTGCCTTCACAGTGTTTGTGATCTAGCAGGGAAGAAAAAAGCATTTACAAGGATGACTTGTCAGGTAGTAAGTGGCAAAGCCAAGATTCAAGCCCAGGATTCAAATATTTACTCCAAAGCCCATGTTCAGGGCATGCCCTACAAAGAACTATGGTGTGCAGTGGGAGAAATTAACATGAATGAAATATTCTTGTCTAAGCTGCCATGTCTTACAACCCAATTGATTTTTCTAGAATCCTCAAGTTCATCATTGGAAGCGCTTCTTAAAGAAAAGAGTCGGAGAGCTTCATGGGCTCAAAGGGCCTTTCTACTACTGTTCATGCCACATACTGTAGGAAACCCTGCCCACACATTCTCCACACGCAGTGGTCCTGTTCTAGGGGCTGTGTAGACTCTGCAGGAGTCCGTGTGTTTGTGTGTGGGCCTGTGTGCAT